GTTATTTATCTGGTTCATGTGACAGTATCTGTGAGGTGTTAGTTATCTGGTTCATGTGACAGTATCTGTGAAGTGTTAGTTATCTGGTTTATGTGACAGTATCTGTGAGGTGTTATTTATCTGGTTCATATGACAGTATCTGTGAGGTGTTAGTTATATGGTTCATCTGACAGTATCTGTGAGGTGTTATTTATCTGGTTCATCTGACGGTATCTATGAGGTGTTAGTTATCTGGTTTATGTGACAGTATCTGTGAGGTGTTGGTTATTTGACCCTCCCCCCCTTCAACTATTTCAGTCACTAGTGTTGACCCTGTCTCCCAAAATTTCGTACACATAATCTGACTCAGCTCCCTTAACTATCTCAGCCATCAGTTTGGCCCAGCTTCCAGTTTTCATCATAATTTGAGAACCGTTGAACTTTATAATCAGCAACCAGCAGACATCCGGTAGCTGTCAGCCATGTAAGCTTTCATTGTAATCCTGTTGTCTCTTATTGGACGTGCGCACCCAGTTCGCCGATGTCAAAGTGCGCTCCTATTGATCAATATCGGATTTTCAACATAGATTCTAATTTTGGTATCGGTTTTTGTTAATAGCTAAATCTTTTCTTTTTTTTTTTTTTTTTTTTTTTTTTTTTTTTTTTTTTTTTTTTTTTTTTCTGTCTTTTTTTTTTGTGTTTTTTTTTTTTTTTTTTTTTTTTTTTTTTTTTTTTTTTTTTTTTTTTTTTTTTTTTTTTTTTTTTTTAAATTTACCTGAACGGCTTCTGATTATCAGCAGTGGTCCTAAAACATGAATCTAGAAAGGAACATGGCTCTGATGATTTCTTCTTCTCCAAACCAAACAAACAAACAAACAAACAAATTAATTTTAAGATTCCAATTTGAAATGTAATGAGTTTTAAAGCTATACATTTAACACACCACAAATTATTAAACTATAAATTGTAATTTTGTTAATTCAAACACATGAAGACCGCACCTGGAAGGCGAGGGATTGCGCCTAAGCTGGTTTCAATCCCTCAATCCCCCAAAGTCTGGTACATACATCATAAAATATTTGCCAATCTGGCAGATAATTATATAGGAACGACTTGGTTTCAAACAGCGGTGTGAACCGCTTAGCATTTCAGCTGTAAGAAAGAACAGCTTATAATTCAACATTAGCTTGGGGTTTTTCTTTTCTGATTGATAATCAGTTTTGGGGAGCAAATCTTAAACATCTGGTCCAATGTTTAGCGGTTCGCCTCATTGACAGAAAGATCTACAGACGTCAGAACCGTGCCAGTGCGACACTGGTCTAACGTCCGGCGGGTCGTTCACTGTGACCTCACCGGATTACAAAGACAGCGGTGTTAAGTGCCACTCTCTGTCTCTGGAAGTTCAATGAAAAAATATCCTTAAAAAAAAAAAGAAAGGTTTTTCGTATAAATCCTTTATTTGAAATTATAAATCATTTATTGTTATCTTAATATTCTAAGGACCCACCCGCTTTTGCGCCGCAGATTTATTTCACCGACTATTTCAGAACAAAAAAATATTACGCACCAAACGCACTTGTGATAAATGTTTTTGAAGAATCTCATTTAGCGCAGTCATGGTGAATTTTATTTCATGATATCAGTTGAATAAACTGGAAAAACTGTTTTCTTGGGAGTTTTGGGTTTGGCGGTGGGGGCTGAAACTTTGACAGAATGTTATTATCATCGGCAGCAAGTCTAAGTGCCAAGTTTCAGCTCGATAATTTGACGGTAAGTGGGTCAAATAGCCGTCCGAGGACATTGTCAGCTAGCCACGAACAAAAGTGGGGTTAATATATATATATATATAATATATATTAAATTGGGGTGGTGGTTAATTGTGATTGATGACGTCATAATAAGACTATCCTTAGTGGGCACTACCATGACTTCCACAAGGGGCTGTTAACCCCCCCTCTCCCCCAAACCAAACCAAAAAAAAAAAAGGATTCAGCGCCTATGGCCTTCAGCCATTCGGAAAGTCAGAGATGCCCAGTGTCCCAGTGTGTCTTTGGCAAGCTATGTATTGACACTTGTGTTTCTAGAGACATTTTTTTCAATTTTTGTTTTAGTCTTTTTTTTTTTAAGCAACAGAGTGATCCCCCAATTATTACTTTTTTGATTAACAGTTACCACTCACGACATCCTGAACATACACATACCACTGTCCGTAGAAATATGCATATAACATTGGGGGGCATAGATTTACGCATCAAGCAAATCACAGAACTAATCAAGAAATTTGCAACAGACCGTTTCATTTCTTTGACTTATATTTATATTTGATACCTGTAAAGCAGTATCATTTTAATATCTTTATAAGTATCAATATATAGATTGATACACACAGCTGTGCATGTCCGGCTAAGTGGTGCTACACATGATTGTTACCGATGTCATCAGACGGACTAACCAACTGTCCACCGAGCAATAACTGTTTATAAAATGAGCATCTGTCGTTCGTCACTGACACACCCTTGTCAGTGACACGCCCAGGCACACTCTTATCAAGCACGTACCAGCAGTCCCCACCCCCCTTATATGAAGATGTTTTGTTTTTTTTTAAATTGAAGCATTAAGTTGTTTGCCAGGCGAGTACTTAACTCAAGTGATGAGCTTCATATGATGCGCATCGTATGTTTACAATTGTTTAAAGATGGTAAAGAAAAAAGCACTGAACAACCGTGGGGTCATTTGAAGGAAAAATGATTCACACTCGAGACTATAGTAGGCCCCATTTTGTTAAGAGTGATATAGCCCTTCTGCTAGGAGTGTAGTGGTCCTACTGCTGTGAGTGTGGTAGTCCCACTGCTTTCAGTGTGTTAGTCCCACTGCTGTCAGTGTGGTAGTCCCGCTGCTGTCAGTGTGGTAGTCCCACTGCTGTCAGTGTGGTAGTCCCACTGCTTTCAGTGTGGTAGTCCCACTGATGTCAGTGTGGTAGTCCCACTGCTGTGAGTGCGGTAGTCCCACTGCTGTCGGTGTGGTAGTCCCACTGCTGTCGGTGTGGTAGTCCCCACTGCTTTCAGTGTGGTAGTCCAACTGATGTCAGTGTGGTAGACCCACTGATGTCAGTGTGGTAGTCCCACTGCTGTGAGTGTGGTAGTCCCACTGATATCAGTGTGGTAGTCCCACTTTTTGAATTGTGGTACCCGCACTTGTGGAAGCCCCACGTGAAGGAGTTTGGACGCCCCACTGTTTGGGGTGTGGTAACCCACACTCAACAAAAGCACGATCTATACGAGACTTTATCCAGACTCGCAACACATCGCAACACATCGCAACACATCGCAACACATCGCAACACATCGCAACACATCGGTTTTCATAGCAAACGCTTCCGAGCAATTTTTTTCACGTCATCAAAATTTCTTATTAATTAAACAAATAAAATAAAACAATTTAAACGGAATAAGCAGATGTTGTTTTGTTTCTTGAAATAGTTTCATTTTGATAGAAAATGCACAACAACTTTGCAACAACTTTCTCCAACATGACAATAGTATTCCGAGCCAGCCTCTAGATATCTATTTACTGTGTATCTGAAGTTACCCGTATTAGGATTTGTATTTTTATTCTGATCCAAGGCAGTTTTCTTTTCAAGTTCAAAATCCTTTATATTCACTTTTGCTCGTGGGTGCCTGGAAAAAAATCTTCCCTTGCCTTCAAGCTATCGAGCTGAAACTTGGCGGCAGACTCGTTGCCAACGGCAACACATTCTTTCAAATGTTTAGCCCCTCCTCAACCCCAACCCCCCAAAATATTGACTTCGTTTTTTTGTTTTTTTAACCTGTATCGTGTCAAGCTAAAATTAGTTTTTTTCAGAAAAGTTTTTTATAATAGATCGTAATCATTCCCCAGGTGGCGCTGGTTGCTTTAGGTGGCGCTGGTTGCTTTAGGTGGCGCTGGTTGCTTTAGGTGGCGCTGGTTGCTTTAGGTGGCGCTGGATGCTTTCAAAAATTGTTTCGTGTCTTCCTGTCACGGTTGTTATTGTTATTATAGGTTTGTTGTGGGGATTGTAATTATTATATTTTAACGTTGTAAATCACTTTTGATCACAATAAAGACTATAATACACACAAATCGTGTTCTAGTTGTTATTTTTTTTTTCTTTCCAGGCAGGTCACTTCGAGAAAACAAGCAGTTTGGATTAACACCCTAGGACATCTTGAAAAATTTGCCTGCCAGCTAGATTGATATCTTCACTGGCCTGCCAGCTAGATTGATATCGTCATTTGATTGCCAGCTAGATTGATATCGTCATTTGATTGCCACCTAGATTGATATCGTCATTTGATTGCCAGCTAGATTGATATCGTCATTTGATTGCCAGCTAGATTGATATCGTCATTTGACTGCCAGCTAGATTGATATCGTCATTTGATTGCCAACTAGATTGATATCGTCATTTGACTGCCAGCTAGATTGATATCGTCATTTGATTGCCAGCTAGATTTATATCGTCATTTGACTGCCAGCTAGATTGATATCGTCATTTGATTGCCAGCTAGATTGATATCGTCATTTGATTGCCAGCTAGATTGATATCGTCATTTGATTGCCAGCTAGATTGATATCGTCATTTGATTGCCAGCTAGATTGATATCGTCTATAACCCACCTAGAACTTGACAAATCTCTACATTTGTATCCATCTGGCTCCCCTCCCCCCTTTTTTTCCTGTCGGGGAACATTGCAACTTATAAAAATGGGGAAAATCTCCCGGTGTCTCGGATTGAAACAAGACATTGTATGTGTATTATTCATGTCGTCTTTGTTTCAGTAAGCCTTACGCAATAGACACTTTAATGGATCGCCTCTCTGTGAACAATTTGAGGTTGATCACCAGAGAGTAAAGAGGAAGAGCTTTGTTTTCTGTTATATTATTATTTTAATAGTGTCAAATGTAAATTTGGAGTTGGATTTATTTTCTGCATAGTACGTTTTTCACATTTCAACATTGACACGAACAACCAGTGATTACATTATGCGTACTTTCGCGTGCAAACGAGTTTTCCTTAAGGGATTTCCAGTACTCACGTTTTTCGCCATCGTCAGCCTGTATGCCATGCAGAGATCAGTCTATTTCAAACCGAGTAGACTGGCGGATACCCTGCAAGCGCTGCAAGACACTCAGAAGTTAAACACCAAGCTCTCGCTTAGAGCGAGGAACATCAGCCTGAGCCAAGCGGCGTCCACCATTGGTAGCCGGAAGAGGTCCGAGGGCGCTGCCCTGGAGAAGACGACCAGGGGCTGGTTCGACAAGCGACCGAACGTCACGGCCTCAAAACTGAATCCAGCCGACCATCCCCACTTCCGGGGATTCGCCATCGAGAACCCGGGCGTGTGTACGAATGAGACGGTGGACGTCCTGATCTACTTTCACTCGGCGGTGGACCACAGGAACGAGAGGAGGGTCATCAGGGAAACGTGGGCCAGTTCGCAGACCTTCAGCGACATCAGCGTTAAACGCATTTTTATTCTGGGCCGCACCGAGGACAAATTACGACAGCTCCAGATCGAGACGGAGCAGTCTGCGTACGGGGACCTCGTGCAGGGAAATTTCGTGGACGCTTTCTCGAACTTGACGCACAAGGCCCTGACCTTGCTCGTCTGGGTTAACGCCCACTGCCCGCAAGCCAGGTACGTTGCCAAAGCCGACGACGACATGTTCGTCGACATCTACCGGGTGGTCAAAGAGCTCGTGCCGCAGCTGGCCTCGGTGCCGTCCGGCGCGGCCTGCGATCACAAAACGGACATGGACATCATCCGATCCCCCGGTTCCAAATGGTGCGTCGACAAGTCGCTGCTCGCGGGTCGGTCAAAGTGGCCGCCGTTCTGTCCGGGGTACTTCACCCTCTTCACGGGGAGCACCGTCCCAAAGCTCTACGAGGCGTCGTTTTCGGTGAGAGACTTTGTTCCTACCGACGACGCTTATCTGTTCGGCCTGCTGCCAGAACGAAATGTGACGTTGGAGATCGTCAACATCCACGGGGTGATTTCGCCGAACGTCCGGGCCAATCCTGAAGAGGAACTCAAAGTCCAGGGGAAGCTGGAGTATCTGGCGTTTCGAGCCAATAATGCAGCCGAGCAGACGAAGATCTGGTCAGCGAGGTCTAAAAAACTGACCAGCTGGGAGCAGGCCCACAGCTTCTATCACAACGCTCTTAAAGCAGCAGGCGAGAAAGGGGTGCTTGTCTTATAGAAATGACGCGGTCAGAATCAAACGTGGACCATCGTTGAAACATTCCATTAACTCAGTCCATAATATATGCATGTTTTGTGCAATAGTTTATGCTTGTGGTGAAGGCATCTATTAGTGGTAAAGGCCTCCATCTTTTTGGTAATGCCTCTAGCTTGTGGCAAAGTCCTCTACCATTTGGTAATGCCTCTAGCTTGTGGCAAAGTCCTCTAGCATTTGGTAATGTCTCTAGTTTGTGGCAAAGTCTTCTAACATTTGGTAATGCCTCTAGCTTGTGGCAAAGTCCTCTAGCATTTGGTAATGTCTCTAGTTTGTGGCAAAGTCTTCTAACATTTGGTAATGCCTCTAGCTTGTGGCAAAGTCCTCTAGCATTTGGTAATGTCTCTAGTTTGTGGCAAAGTCTTCTAACATTTGGTAATGCCTCTAGCTTGTGGCAAAGTCCTCTAGCATTTGGTAATGTCTCTAGTTTGTGGCAAAGTCTTCTAACATTTGGTAATGCCTCTTGTTTTATGAAGTGGAAAAAAAAGTGCCGAGATGTTGTTGATTGAATTAACGCAAATCGTCAGTCAACAACTGTTGAAATGTGATACATTAAGAACATATCATCAGCGCTGAAAAGATTAAGTAGTAGCAAGCATGTTTCGAATGCAAGTGCAAGGATATATGGCTATGGATGATTAGCGCAACATGGACGTCATTGCTTGTGTAACATTAACTTATTATTAAGAATAAAACTTGATGTCAGTAAGAATGTAATGTAGACAAAGAGTTTAGTTGAGTTGAGAAACAAACTAAAATCAGCAAAATGACCTTAGAATGACGTGATTACCTGAATAACGATCTATAAATGACCTTAGAATAAAGATAACGATCTATAAATGACATTAGAATGAAGTGAATACCTGAATAACGATTTATAAATGACATTAGAATGAAGTTAATACTTGAATAACGATCTATAAATTACCTATTAATACATGCCCAAACAGCATCAGCCATCAGCCTGATTATTCCAAGCGGGCGCTAGCTCGGAGGTTGTTTGTGTGTAGATCAGTTTCCTTGCATGTGATAACCATGTTGTCTTCGACTGCTTAATCAGTTTGGATCATGTCGGCGTTGAATAGCGCAGCATTTATTTAATGTCCTTCCATTCTGCCCAGTGAGACTTCTAGAGAGTTTAGGAACTGATTGCCCTTTAGCAGCTGTCACCAATGTTGTGTGTGAACAGTTTTTATGACAGGTGTATGATGAAGACTATACCAGCCATTGGTCAGACGTCACAGTCACAATGACAGTTTTTGTGTAGTAACTAATTAGTATTTCTGTGTTAAACAAAAAACTATGCCGATAAAAAGATTTGAAAATATTCAAAAATTCCCTGATTGAATAATCTGCTTCTTATAAGAATTTTGACATTGTGATCGAGAAATAGACTCTTTTTTTCCCCCACAATCGGCATTTCTAAAAATTTTTTTTTTTTAAATGTGTTGTTTGCTTCAGTATTTCTGTACAAAGACTGCCATGTCCGACCGTGTCCGACCATGTCCGACCATGTCGGACCCATTTCGGGGGTACTCAAATTAGCATAGGACACTTGGTCGGCTCAGAAAGTTTTGCGCTATGCCGAGAACCTAAACCTGCCGTACCAAAATGCTAAATGTCTTTCAGTTATTTCATCAGTTTTCAAAGGCGTAGAAACGGGGTGCGGAGGCGGCGGACCACACCGGGCAGCACTTTTTTTTCTTTAAACGGAGGGGCGGTTTTTTCGGCAGGGGGTAACACAAATCTTGATCCACCCATTATAGTCTCTATAATGTCCATTTCTTAGGTGTCCTTCAAATAGTCTTTCTAATGTCCATTTCTTAGGTGTCCTTCAAATAGTCTCTATAATGTCCATTTCTTAGGTGTCCTTCAAATAGTCTCTATAATGTCCATTTCTTAGGTGTCCTTCAAATAGTCTTTCTAATGTCCATTTCTTAGGTGTACTTCCTCGGGTAAACTGCCAGCTCTCCACTACTGATTCACATGTTGCACTTGCCTCCTTCTGTTCTGTCATTCTGGAGCAAAGCTTTTGTTGCATGCGATTCTCAAATTATGTATTTTAATAAAAATCTTTTTTTTTAAAAACCCTTTGCTCCCATGCATTGATTTAAAAATATCACATGAAATCAATAATCAACAAACGAACTACACGTCGAGGATTGTTTTTTTTTTTTTTCTAATGTGCTCCCCGCAGCTTCTGCACGTGACTCCCGGCAGGACATTTGTTTCTATATATTCAGAGGCGGCACTTTGAACCAACTGCAGAGTTTTTTCTTGGGGATGGATTCGACGAAAATCTGATTTATCCTTGCTCGTAGTGCGCTTTAACTGTCAAACACTTATCCTTTTAACTAAACGAATAAAATTATGGGGATGGGGGGGGGGGGTCATGTATACATAATATTTTATTCTTTTTTAAATTCTTTTTTTGTCCGCCCCAGGAAAAACTGCTGCTCTAGACAAGTGCCAATACCTAAAGCCAACAGTGAAAGCATGTGACCTTTTTTTTTTCTTTTTTTGGCATAATTAACACTTGCATTTAATCGACACCGATCTTACACAGCTGAAAATAGCTTATTGCCTTATTTTGTGATTACAGTTATTATTTTGTTTAAGGGGGCATGAAGGATTTTGAAAGACAAGTCAATTTAATTTCGTTAATTCTTTTCAAATATATTTATCAATGTAAGTATTTATAATAGAATAAATTACCAATAGTTTGCGACATTTTCACCAATTATTCAACTCTTCGGCCTTGTGTCAACGTCCAATAGCCTGGTCTGTTAGGAATAGCCTGGTCTGTTAGGAATAGCCTGGTCTGTTAGGAATAGCGTGTCTGTTAAGAATAACCTGGTCTGTTAGGAATAGCCCGTATTTTTAGGAATAGCCTGTCTGTTAAGAATAGCCTGGTCAGTTATAAATAGACTGTTTAGCAATGCGTATAAAAAATTTGATTATTGTGTTCTATTGTTGACTTAGTTTGTTAGACAAATTAGAATGCAATCGTTAACAGGATGATGTTGTGGTAGAATCGTACAACAGGTTGATGTTATGGTGCAAAGAGCAGATAACATAATCCTAAACAGCGACAACATAATTTCAACTGTTAAAAATTCACGAATGTCAATGACTGTCAATCATAAACGATTATGTTTCTGTCAATCATGAAGGACTTTGTGACTGTCAATCATGAAGGACTATGTGACTTTCAATCATGAAGCACTATGTGACTGTCAATCATGAAGGACTATGTGACTGTCAATCATGAAGGACTATGTGACTGTCAATCATGAAGGACTATGTGACTGTCAATCATGAAGGACTATGTGACTGTCAATCATGAAGGACTATGTGACTGTCAATCATGAAGGACTATGTGACTGTCAATCATGAAGGACTATGTGACTGTCAATCATGAAGGACTATGTGACTGTCAATCATGAAGGACTATGTGACTGTCAATCATGAAGGACTATGTGACTGTCAATCATGAAGGACTATGTGACTGTCAATCATGAAGGACTATGTGACTGTCAATCATGAAGGACTATGTGACTGTCAATCATGAAGGACTATGTGACTGTCAATCATGAAGGACTATGTGACTGTCAATCATGAAGGACTATGTGACTGTCAATCATGAAGGACTATGTGNGGGAGGGAGAGAGAGAGAGAGAGAGAGAGAGAAGGGGGGGGGGCTTAAATTCTTATCCAGTTTTAAACGAGGCCTAGTTGTTATAGGCATAACAATCAAATTATAATTGTAAAAAAAATTATGAAATTATATCTTGAACACGGAACTTTATAAGAATCTTTGATAAACTGAGATTTTATATTTTACTCACAGCGGTACTTTTAAAAAAAATAATTGATGTAACTTTTAAATAAGTACAAGCGACTGTGACGATGTTAAAAAGGGGATGCAGCCAGTAAGAGAAGCTGTCTGGGCGGGGTACACACTAGTTTCAGTTTGGATTTTAAAAAAAATTTACCCAACTGTCCCTCGTATAAGTATATAGTTTTGACGTGGGTGTCGATCCAATCAAGGTAACTAACTTCAGGCCTGAGAATCCATATTAATACAATGGTTTTTATCAAGTGGTAATTAGAGTAACAGGAAACATACCCTTTGGTTTGAAAGGCAGTATTCTATCAGCAAGAGGCAATGGAAAAGTAAAAAATTGAATTAAAACGACTACTAAACTGCCCTCAGCTGACACATTAGAAAGAAACTTCACACATGCATCCTGCACTGCAGTTAAAAACTTCTTAATGCATGTCCGACATCCTGTTTTGTGGCATCTGATTTGAGAGCGTTTTTGTCCAGCTTTGCTACTTGCCCAATAAAAATGCGATTACGTTTCTGAAAGGGGTACTAAATTTAAGAGTCCTCATAAGTCAATTTAAAACAACTTATTTGTTGTTGTTTTTTTAAAATATAGTACTCTCACTTCCAGGACGGCAGCAAGCAAAAACTGCCATAATTTAGGCACCCTCTTCCCCCCCCCCCAAAAAAAAAGGTATATAATGCGCATATTTTGTATTTAAAAAATGACCTTTGGCGCCTTCTCAATTTGGCTCCCGGGATGGGTTCCTCCTTTCGCATCACCACCTTTGCACGGCCCTGCTAATTTCTGCCTGTCGATCCATTCTAATAGTACGCGAGTAGTGAAGAAGTTCATTGCTATGACTAAGTGTAACATAGACACGTTTGGTTCAGTTGTTATCGTATTTTAACAAGCTGTGGCGTCACTTGTCTGCTGATTTGTGCATTGTCAGTTGATTTGCGCATTGTCAGTTGATTTTGTGCATTGTCAGTTGATTTGCGCATTGGCAGTTGATTTTGTGCATTGGCAGTTGATTTGCGCATTGGCAGTTGATTTTTTGCATTGGCAGTTGATTTGCGCATTGGCAGTTGATTTTGTGTATTGTCAGTTGATTTGCGCATTGGCAGTTGATTTTGTGCATTGTCAGTTGATTTGCGCATTGGCAGTTGATTTTGTGCATTGGCAGTTGATTTGCGCATTGGCAGTTGATTGTGTGCATTGTCAGTTGATTTGCGCATTGGCAGTTGATTTTGTGCATTGTCAGTTGATTTGCGCATTGGCAGTTGATTTTGTGCATTGGCAGTTGATTTGCGCATTGGCAGTTGATTTTGTGCATTGTCAGTTGATTTGCGCATTGGCAGTTGATTTTGTGCATTGTCAGTTGATTTGCGCATTGGCAGTTGATTTTGTGCATTGGCAGTTGATTTGCGCATTGGCAGTTGATT